TTGAACTGGTTATTTATATCTGATAATGCAGTATTAACCTATAATATTTGTAAAGAGTTGAAACTTCTACGAGTATCGCCACTGAAGCAATTGAAAAGTCTCCGACATACTTGAAAGTTTAGGTCTGAAATTGGGAATGATGATGACTGGACGGAATGTCTCAAACTTCGACAAACAAAATGTGAAACTGATCTCGCCTCGGCTACTTTCGCTCGTCCCCGAAGGAACGGAAGATGATGTTGTGAGAAATTTAACTAGGAAATTTAACGCTTAAGGAGTGCACTTAAAAATATCACTCTCCAGGTCAATTTGCTTTCTCCTTCGCTCTTCTCCTTGCACAATGAAGGCAAAGGTATCGAAGATGAGCTGAGTTTGACAAAAGCTCTGAAACTTTTCGATGAGCAAGGACATCAGGAATGGTTGAATTTTGTTATTGAAGCTTCAGGAGTATCCGATGCTCTTTCAAAAATGAAGGTATCACTCTTTTAACTGCCTTTAATTGCGCGAGCTGAAGCAAACAAACAGGATGCTAATGCAGCGGCCGAACGGAGACAGTTAGACGAACAATTCCGCAATGACGAAGGTCAACCTTTATACTTTACCAAGGAGAATGTGACTGAAATGTACGGTCCTTATGAGAAAAAGAAAATCGACGTATTTGAGGAACTTCAGAGGTCACTCTCAAAGCAGCAGGTACATTGAATACGTTTTGATTTGTAGTGTCCACAGACCACTTGGTCATTGGTGTCCACGTTTCAAAAATCTAGCTCATGAAATATCTATCAGCTGATTCACTGTGGCAATTTCAACGACAAGTCAATCAAACAATGCCAATGCCCAATCAAACATTATAAATTTAATTATGGTTAAATTCTATACTTCATAAGGGATTTCCTTTCAACACTGCAGCAAAAGTGTATCTTCCGATAACGATGAGCATGGCAAATAGCCGTCTTTAACACAACAAGGAAATATGTTGGAAGGAGGTAGTTACTCTGCGACGTGTATGACGGAGTAAGCGTGGTTGCAACCTTCTCTGCCAGCGCCACTTTCAGACGCTCACGAGCGAACTTTTCACTTTGGAATCAAGTTTTGCGAGAAAACATGGGCGGAGACTTGATAAGTTGGCCCATTGTTCTTTTGTATTTTTTGTTTACTGGTAAAGACTCATCAATCTAAATCAGGGTGGATGCCTTTGCAAGAAGGGATAATGCTGAAGGCCTGCCGTTTATTCTATA